TCAATGAAAATGTATTTACAAAAAAGTCACAACGTGTCATCAAGCTGTCAATTCCTCCTTTTCTGTTTACACTGCGCTTCTTCACAAGAGACCATGTATATAAGCCTTAAACTGCAAGTTAAATTTGAATAAAATCTGGTACACTGAGTTCTTTAATTTCACGCGAACATAACAATTTGAATTCTCCGTACTAAAACCACTGCTGCTACCGTACTTTGTATACCTTGTGATTCTGGGCAAGCTTTTGCTTAGTTACATAAGAGATGCCTTACAGCAATACACTATTCGCAATGGATAAGAAGGGCACAAAGGAACCAGTCCATTCCAGAGATGATGGCCGCTATGCAAAAGCTTGCATTAAATAGTGAAGTATAGCTACAGTGTCTTTGGTCTGGGAAATTTGAATTATGTCTATGTGCAATCAGATAACTCATTGTACCAGGTTTCATTCAAATTTAACTCACAAATAGTTTATTTGTTTCTGACTGAATCTTTGTTTCGTATGCCCATGTAGAGAGATTCGAATTATGATCAATGAATAAGGAGCAGGCAAGCAATAACGCAGCAAGTTTTCCTTTGTATATAATGGGCATCACTGGACTACAAGATTCATTCACAAAAAAATACAGACTAAATTAACCACACATGCTTTTTATTTGCAAGTGACAAGATCAGGCATGTGAACATTTATACACGTGAAAGTGTTAATTACAAAAGAATACTACAGCTATGTGTCTACGTATCCCAGCATGAACCTTTTTGCAGTTTCAAAACACAAGAAAGGCCACAAGATGTCAACCCAAATCCTCCCCCCCCCCCCGGCATGATCACCAGCAGCGTGCAAAAGAAATCTAAAATGACAAGACAGCTGCAGCCATGCTATATGACATTTTGCATTTGAAACTTGAGCTCATACACCTAGTGATCAGTGACAACTGTCTTTGGCAGAGAGTTTGTAATTCAGAGAATCAAAGCCAGCTTTCAAAAGGTTGTCAGGCCTGGGTTAATTACTACATATATGTTCAGTTTGTCATCCATATAAACCATGGTTTGACCAAGGAATAGCCACAAATTACTGTTATAAAACAGAAAATTATTTTGTACCCCAAGGAGGAGTCTAAAGTGCTTTTTGGTTTCCTCTGGTCATTCTCAAGAGTTAACAAAAGTTACTAAGCCATGCAATTTTTATATTTTAATTGAATATTAAAAAAATACCACCAGAAAACCCAAGCATTAAATTCAGGTTTTTGAAATTAAGAGATGAACGTGTAAGCTCCTGTTGATGATATCATTATTCATATGACATTGGTAAGTTCAAATGGAGAATTCTGATAAAGCAACATCCAAATTAGGGGTGCTGTACGTGTGATGAGGAAATGTACAAACTGCCGTATATAAACATGCTATAAATTTAAATGCCAGCATCAGTGTATTAGCAATGAATTGCTGCTTCATCATACCGAAAGTCTCAGGGATCTTTGATCCCCCGCTGTTCTCTAGACTAAACGATGTGCATCAGAATGTGAAGTTTTTGTAACCCTATCCTCGCTGTAAATTGCTCTGACACAAACTCCAGCTATGGGAAGTATTGAAGTTACATGTTTGATACCCTGCCCTGTGAACTACTTCTTTTCTTTCTTTTATTTGGCAACAGTCCACATCATTACTTCAGGATAATAAGGAAAAGGGGGTTTTCACTGTTTTGAGAGTACATTAAGTCACTGTTTGTGATATTGACCCTCATTTAGCAGCCTTCTGATAGTGGAGGTCATGAAGTGTAAACTTGTAGGAAGATCTAAACTTGTCCAGTGAAACAACTTGGGAGTTAAAATGCACAATGCTCTGCAGACTGCCTTGTTAGAAATGTTTTTCTTTAAATTAAATCAAAATTGACACTAAAAAAATTCCATGAGTTCCCTACACCCACTGGTTTCCTAACTAATTGTCTCATAACTTGTAATGGTTCAAAATTGTATACCAGTTATCATCAGAGTTGCATCATAAGTGCAACTGCAAAAAGGAAATTAGAAGTAAAGTTTTGACATATTTTTAAATTTGAATATTTGACAATGGAATTAATAAGAAGAAAACAAGGTTGACCAGTTTAAATCATCGATTTAAATCAAATGATTTAACAAACAAATCACTGATTTCAATCAAAAATCTTTTTTACATTGTAAATGGCAAATATGTTGCAATTTGTTTTTTCCAACAGATTTGTAATTTTTTTCCAGGTTTCTCACATTTAAAAAGACCTTTCTGTGAGCCCTTCAATACCTAGTATTGATAAGAACTACCAGTATGAGTGCACATGTGTTAAATACATGTGTTAAATACAATCCAAGCTGGGTTTTATTCAAATCATACCTCTCGCTTTTTGGATTCAGTGCATTAATTAAATGAGTTATAATCAGGATTTAATTAAATTTGATGTAAGGTGTTCCCCTCTGGAGTTTAACATAAACGTGGAGAGGAATTAAATGTTCATCCATCTGTACTGCTGTTTGATTGAGATTAGAAATATTGGTCATTACGTAGTGAAACAAAAACTAGTGACAAAATGTTCTTAAACAGTGATTGTCAATCAAGCCTTATCACTCTGTTGAACACAATAGTGCTGGATCATAAACTCACTAACAATTTAACACAGTAATGACATTAAAAGTTATTTTAACTAGACTGCTTTATTTTTTACAAACATCAGAGCCTCTCAAAAATAAAATATCAGCCTTTTGTCTCTCGCATGAACAAGGAGTTAACCAGTACGAACATGTGGTTGACGACATTTTTTCACAAAAATGGTCCGTAAGTTTCAGCTCCTAGTTAACAAATCAAGTGAACTGCAGTTTTGCCAAACTCTTGGCCCAGTTTTAAACATGGTAGTTTACCCTTGGCACCTGTATCTAAATGAACCTAGGAACTGTCAACAGGTACATGTGGGTACTATACTGCATGTGTTTGACCTCAGCTTTGACAATCATAAAGGCAGTTATTAATTGCCAATATTTAATTTTGACCAAATAACTTCATTGCAAGTCTTAAGTCAAACTACAATTTGTTTTAATTTATAACAAAACAAATAAAAGAAAATTAACACTCATACATGAATGGCTAAATTTCCTTGCTTTAAAATAGATAATTATGCTGTCTTGCCTTCAATTTTTAAACAAGAATTTCAAAATCCGAATTAAATAAAAAATATAATTCAAATAAAAACAATTGTTTTTAATTAAAAATGTCACCAACCCTGGAAGAAAATAAAGTAACACAAGACAAATTATTGAATACTTTCCAATTCTCATTAAAGTTAATCAAAACTTATCCATGCAGAGAACATGGAAGATTACCTGAAGGGCACATGATGTTGTATCAACAAATACTTGAATATTGGTTGACATGACATGACATTGTGATACCATTTGAACTGCTGGGAAAGCTTCTAACAAAGACATCAGAATTAGAACATTCCAGAATATAATTACTTAATTGCCCTTGTGGAGAATTCAAAGTATTTCATGACCTATCAAATCAAACGATTGGAGAAGTGGTCATTGCTATCATCATGCTTATAAACAAATTCCATTTGTGGAGAAGATGTGGCTTTTCCCCTCAGCAGGAACTCATATCCCTGGTTGCAAAGGTTAATTGTCGGATAGGTCAACTGGAAAAATATACCAGCATATTGAGTTACAAAGCATAATAGGAGCCAATTATGACTGTCTTACATCCTCGTAGTAAACCAGACTGGTATTTTGTATCCCTGCCCTTAATTTCTGATAAATTACATTATTGATACCAATACATGCATAGTGTACTACCTTGCTGTGTTGTGTGCCGTGTATTGTACTCGGGATGGAGAGCCGAGTTCACTGGTGGTGTCAGTATTAGGTCATTTGCAGACTGAACGAATAGCTGATCAGAGCACGGAGCTCTTTCAACGGAGTTTTATCCCCCAGCCAGATCTTCTTTGGCAGATTTAATTCTTTTAGCAGGGAAATCATCAATTCGGGTCATGGCTTGAAGCTACAGAAAACCGTCAACAGGCTTCAGGTGAGGAGGGGATTTGTCTCTTGAGGAAAATCAAAGATGTGCTTATGATTTCCACAGGGATAAAATGAAACTCTTTAGAAATTTATAAGAGCTGGAAGGAATTTAAAACCTCTAATTATAAGGAAGTAATATTACCTCAGTTTCCTGCCAGCGAGATGATTTGTATAATTATATAATTGTTGCTGAATTTGTGACATGACCTTGGCATTCTCTGTAAAATGTTTATTATTTACAATCTGAGGGTTAACTTTTCACTTGATGTGTATAATCATGTAAAATGATTTGAGTGGTGCATACTGGTAACAGTATCATTTGCTGAGTGTACAGTATAGCACAGTGTTATTGTTCATTGATCTTCCACTGTTATACTAAAACATCAACCTTCATTACCTCAGTTTCTCGCTGCTTTTCCGACAAACTGTTCAGTTGTAATTCTTGACAGCTCGAAATACAAATGTCCACTTACTCGTATTCAGAAAAAAAGGGCAAAAGTTGCCAGAACTTGAAGTTTATTATTGCATTAGGTTCCATCTGGCCTGTCACTTTTCCCCAAAGTGCAGCCCCCATCAGACAGGATGAACTTTAATGCAGTTGACCAGTTTACACTTTATGACTTTGCGGAGGTTCCACAGAATTCAGACCAGACCAAACCAAGTCCAGTGCACAGTCTTGATTTGTTGCCTGTGGCATTCAGACACTCTCTTCACATTCTTCTGGGCGGGAACCCTGTGGTGTCCCCCCTTTTACAAAGTCCCCTTCCCAAATAGAAAAAAAAGAAAAAAAAACACCCCTTTTATCACAACAAAGGTCCAAAAACCCAAATCTCAAACCTACCCTATACACAGGATGCATGGCCCAATGCATTACGTAGGCGGGTGTTAGCAACTGCACTGATAATATCAATCCTGCTAGTAGCACTGCAGCACAGTGCAGTATGCTAATATCGGGCATTGTGGGACTTCACTTATTAGTACTTCACAAGGGAAACTTTCACTGGAGTCCTTTGGATAGGATTACTGTGCTGGAACAGCTTACAGTGCCTCAGAAATCAACCCTTTTCAATGGATCTTAGCTTTTAATAGCAGGCCAACAGCCCACGCTCCCAAGTCAGGTTTACATTTGGTAGAGAGAAATTCCTATGGACACTCAAGCGAAAAGTCCTGTCATGTCTGTGGTGGACATGTACATGTTCATACACCTGCAGTGACACAGTAAACAACTGCAGGGATGACTCTGGAAGTGCTTGCCAACTGGAATCTGGAAGAGTTCCCATTTTGACCTGGAGAATACAGAATCACTTTGTCAATGACCCACTTTCTGAACCAGCTAAACTTTTGTCATAAGCTGAGATTTTGCAGACTTTGATGATTCTGGTTCTGCAAACAAGATGCTGAAAACTTTCTCCAAGGTATGTCTGTCCATGGTGTGTCATATCTGTTGTTTACAGTGTCAATTCGTCTGCTGGAATGCATCTGTGCAGACAGAGCAGTGAAATGTACTTGTAAGTTTACGTTTCCTTCCAAATTTATAACCTGTGAGAAATAATAATTTGTCGTAAGTTGATAGTGCACTTGAAAACAGTATGCATATGTTAAAAAGTGATCCGTACATTAATATCACATGCTAATTTTCTGGCCCATTCCTCATCTAGGAAAAATTGTATCTGTAATTTTGTTTTGTGTATTATGGCTTAACTGATATTTGACGATTATGAGTTTACATACAGAAACTGGATAACAAATTAACATTGAAGTATATTTTACCGTGACCTGTTTTTGCTTCATACACAGGCCAATTCTTGCTTGCACTTTAACCTAAATAAAGGTTGAGTATTCAGGCTCTTTATTTTATTGATGAGAGAAAGTTGTTTTTCGTGAACACGAGGGAGGATTCATCGGTATGCCATCGGCATGGTTGTCATTTTAGATTCATTAAACTGAAATTTTGGCTTAGTGAATATAAGGGTTTACCAACAAGTTCATTAGTGAAGTGTAGGACTGATTATAAATGTTCAAGGAAAAAATCACTGCCCACTGTGATGATCCATATTGATTAAGGGAATACTTTCTCGCACTAGTCACCCAAATCAGGATGGGTAATCCATTGAAACAGATCGTTTATTCTCTTGTGTTTTCAACTAAGAAAAAAGTAACCAACGGATGGATGTGCTAGAGGAGATCTGTCACCAATTTGTGACACAGGTTGTGAGTCTTGCCTTTATGGCCCATCGTACAGAAAGAACGAAATGGAGCATCTACCAATCCATCATGTGTAGCTGTCATCTTTGACCTCTGCTCTTGCATTGTTATCGTTCAGGTTCATGAACTCAGGCTGCTGCAAAGTCCTTCACTCAGTCGGCTGAGCATTTGTTAAAGACCACTGTCCGGCTTTTTGCCACTAACTTCTGTCTTTCAATTTATTCCTCCACCAAGGACAGCTTTCAAAACATGGTTTAAAACTGGTAGTTGTATCGGGGCTGAAATTTAATTGGAGCTGATTTCAGAACTTTGGGTCAGTTTGAGAAAGTATACCATTGGATGCAGACTTGACCTCCAGGGCTCCAAGTCTGGTTTTTGTGGTTGATATCTGGGAAGAATGGTCATAATGGTCATCACAAATGTGCGTAAATCTGAGAAACCGGTAAGTCCATTCATTGGCCAAGCTGCTCCCTAGAAATGTCCCCTTGATTTTCATTTTCTCCAGTTCCTGTATTCCATTTTCAAGAATGGTGAGTTATTGGTGATTCAAAAATTTTCCAGAAAATTCCCTGAGTTATTCTCTCAATGTATTCTGGAGAAAAATCATAAAGATTTTTTATGGAAATCTTTCCATATGTTTATATTTATAACTGGGTACTCAACTGAAATTAAACACTCCTGAATGATGCTTATTTTATTTGAACTTGCCTTAAGGGTGGACATCATTATTAAATATTAACATTCAGCTTCATGTGCGGAACTTAATAATCCTTTGGTGTTATTTTGTGGTCTCCTGAGTTTATATCTTGGTTTTTGATCGCATTTCACCATGAAGGAACAAGGCACATTCTTCCGTGCATTCCTCCATGTTCTGAAGAAAGTCTGGACAGAGTGACATGTGTTGCATGTCCCAGCACAGAAACCTTTCAGATTGCATGACTCCTTTGTTTTTTCATTTATTTATTTTGCTGGGGGAACTCCATATGCTTGGCCTCACCCCTGTGACCCCTGTCAGCCTCCTGGGCTGGCACGGTGTTCCCGAGAGCTAACTAGCTGCTTTGGGGGCAATCATCGGGTGACCTAAACTGATGGGATTTGTGCTGAACCTTGACCCTCTTCAAGATTGAGGAGAAAAATTAGTCTTCTGTGGAGTTCCCTTGAAGAAATAAACCTCACAGGTCCATATTGTGGTGAAAAAAACCCCAAAGCTGTACAAAAAGCTCTTAACCACACAAATTCTTGATGGGGGATGTTGACTGATGATGGTCGGGTGGTAAGGTTGTGAATGGACCTCTTATCTGGACAAGCCCAAACATTTTCCTTGTGACAATGAAAGGTTTTGTTTGCTTTGATTAAGTGTCAACCCATTGCTTAATTTGTTACTTTCATGTGGCATCTTGTGGGGAGGCACCCCGTCATCTGCTACAGAGTTTTGTGTGGGACAAAAATATTTCCATCTGTAATTCTTTCTTTAACCAGATGCAAAGTATCAGTGTGCAAAATATTTGTGGTTGGCGGGATTGACTGTCCCTTAAATCCCCTGAGAATCAAGCTTGGTGGGAAAAAATTGAATACTGTGCCCTGCTCTGGATGATGGGAACCAAAGTTCCTGAGATAAAGTACAGTGCACTTTGTCACTCACACATGTACATGTATGAAATGCTTTCTCAGTAATGGTGTAGACATTTATGAAAATGTGTTATTAATGAGAAAGCTGTTTTCCAAGAAATCAAATGGTAGGTTTTGAATGCCAAATGCCAGATTCTAAGAAGAGAATTGAATGAGTTGCAAAATCTCCAGAGAGTTTGTCAACCCGAGGCAAATCACAGAACAAGAAACACTTAAACTTTTCCACCGCCTCCCATGGTGTTATGTAAATCTGTTTTGGCCTGCTCTTGTCTCTCTCTGCCCTCAGCTGGGGGTTGTTAACCAGATTTTTTGGGGTCACTTTGTGTATAATGAAAATGCGAAGTTGGGGAAGGGGCTGGAAGACGTTCCACATTAAGGTCAGTTTCATTCAGACCGGTAACAGACATATTGTGAACGCAAAAATGTATCATCCAATTGTGTGTCGTGTTATCTTTGTCCTCTGCTTAAGAAGACTGTACATGTACCGTACCGGTACATGCAACTCACGTAACTGAGTATAGGAGCTTCTTACTGTATACACTAAATGCATGGTAGCATTCAAGGTGGTTTTTAATTGGTTAGTCTGCAGAACAAGACTAGATTTTGAAAAGTTTGATGAAAAATTAAACACGGAAAACAGTGGTATAGAATCATTTGATGTTTGATGTTTCACCTTGAAATATCTGGCATTGAAAAGATTTTTAGATTTGGTTTATTAGTAGGCCTACAGGTATTAAAAAAAGATAAAAATTCTCATTTGGTTTGGAGTCAGTGCACTTGTGACTGATGTGCATACCGTACCCCTTGTAATTTTGTGTGATGCTCAATCAGTGGGGGATTCCAACAAATGCGTGGTAATGTTTCTTCTGACCTCTGGCTCAGTTACACTACACTTTACCCACATCTGCTTGGATCATTACTGCATGCGTAGAATAAGTGTAAAAGAAAAATGTGGGTCTGCAAAGTGCAGGTTGGGGAAGATGTACACAGTACATGTACCTACATTCTTGGCACTGATGTCAGCACTGCTTTATATGGTCTCACTGTCATTGGCCTCTGCACAACTTGTACATGTACACCTGTACTGTATATTAACCCTAGCTGTCCTCAGTCCTGTGACAGGTGAAGGATATGAAGAGCTGTTCTGGTTAACCTTCGTTCATTTTTTATTTATGGAGGGGTGCTTGTGAAAGGTGAGCAAGAGTTTTGGTGAAAACTGTTAATAATTGGTAAATAATTGTGTATGTACAAGCTACTGTGCATGTACGTGTACATGTACACTGCAAATGTGGTATTTGTTAATATGCTCACAACCTTTCCTGTTACCATTAGTTCACTGATGCAGACTGCAGTAGACCAAGGCCGCTAACAAAAACAGTAACTACTGTAATGGAAGTCCAAGGCACTTTTGCAAGAATAGCATAGTCATCAATGTTCAAGTGGCATCAAACTAATTATAGTTACATGTAGAGTAAAATAGTTGCAAGCAGGTGCTACCTGCATACATGTTCATGATGTATACCTAAAATCATACATGTAAATCCTGTAGAATCTCCCCTTCCCCGCCTCTCCCCATTTAAAAAAATCACAAAGCAGGGACATTCATAGAGGGAAGGGGGGTGGGGAGATTTGACTCTGGTGGCAACTCATCCTTTGCACTGAATTTAGGTATGCTGGCAAAGGAGGCCATCGTCAATACTGGTAGTGTCACCAGTTGTCAGACACTGCCATCAATAGGCCCTGTTCCTGAATGATGACCAGCTCCCCGTACACTCTCCCCTCTCCCCCCATTGAGTGTCCAGTAGGGCTTAGTCAATTCAAATAATTTACTATTCAAAATAATTTAACATTTGGTTGTACCAACCGGCAGATTGTTAATGAACAAACCATATACAAAATCAGTTGCAATAGCACACACAATTGTTCATTATGATTGGTACAATAGCTTCTCACGTCTAGGAGTATCGGGGGGGTATCTCCTGTCATGATTTAGCATGATTGAAGAGATGAACAAGACTCCTTGCCCTGTTTAAAATTTCTATTCTTTTAAATTGTTTAATGAATAATTTACTTTTTAAAACGCTTTTTATTTGAATCTGCTTGAAACAAGCCTCCATGGTGCAATTTTTCTTATTTAAAAACAAAATAAAAGTTTCCCTTCCTTTTCATGAATTTTGCATTTGAATATTCAAATTCGAACAATAATATTTGGTTATTGGACATTCAGTTGAATATTCTGTTATTCGAATATTTGGCACATCCCTAGTGTCCAGCGGTCAGCCAAAACTATTTCCGTGTGTACATGCATGTTCCAAAAGGCCTCCTAGGGCTATACTGAATATCTAAATATTCGATCACCGAATGTTCAAATAGTACATGTATGTTCCTAATTTGAATATTCAAATGCAAAATTCATGAAAAGGAAGGGAGAATTTCTTTTGTTTTAAATGAGGAAAGTTGCACTATGGAGGCTTGTTTCAAGTAGATGCAAATGAAGAGCAACAAAAATCTTATAAGTCATCAAAAACTAAATTGTTCATTAAAAAATTGAAAAGGAAGAGAAATTTCAACAGGGCAAGAAGTTTTGTTCGTGTTTTAAATTTTGCTGTTACATTCATGGTTGGAGATACTCCTAGACGTGAGAAGCTGTTAAAGTGATTATTATGTACAAGTGTGTGTTATTGCAACTGATTTTCATATATGGTTTGTTCATCAACAATCTGCCAGTGGGTACAACCGAGTAATAAGATATTCAATCAAATTGAAGACCGAATATTTGAATAGTGAATTATTTAAATTGACTCTCCTCAATATGCTCACCTGGAGTTTTTCAAAGGAGTTGGGGAAATTCATTGTGGAGGGGTTCTTGAAGTTTAGGAAAGGGGGAAATTGTATCAGCTGGTCATTACTTTAATATATAATGATATTCAAAGAAGAATTCCAGGGAAACTTGTAAGTTTGTTATCAAGCTACATGCACATGTATTTGTAGACATGGTCCGTACATGTACTAGTATATGGTACTGTTTTTAATAGGAGGTTCAAGATTTGGTCTGACATGAAACACTCCGTCCACTTTTGTTTTGAAGCAAAAATGATGCCTTGTCAGCCCCAAATATCATGCAGGGCAAAATTTACAAAAACTTTTTGAGTCAGCTGAATGTACCATTTTCAGGGGCATGAGAATGCATAAAAGAGGGCAGGTTTTGTCAGAGATTAAAGCTAGAATTTAAAACCAGCTAAGAAGTTAGAAACTGACATGAAATTGCAGGAGGTTATCACTTGATGACCTTTAGAAGAACAACTAAAGTATTTTGGGTCTTTTGCAACAGTTCTGTGATGTACAATGTATGTAGTGTTCAGTGCATATTGTACCTTGAAGAATGTAAATTATTTCATGGTAACTAAGCATGAAGTTTGCTTTTCTTCATTTACAGAGCCTCCATGGCATCTTGTCACCCCGCGAAAACAAGAAGTCAGTCCATAAGGGTAAGTCCGAGCCCAATGGGATGTCATCACTAGAACGCCAAGCCTCTTACTCAGATGGAGGGAATGGAGACCAACCGAGGGCTCGCTATCAGCACCAGTATGAGCAGCGCCCTCTCTACTTTGATAATCCCAAGACAAAGCGCAGCCACTCTGCTGGTCGCCACTCAGAGCAGTCTGAGCATCACAGGGATGACTACTTCCGCAGGGACGACCACATCCAGTCTCGCTTGGACAGAGAATTTAGAGGGGCGGAACACGATTGGAGCGAAAAATCCAACCGAAGTGGGAGGTCACAGGAGTACAACCCACCTTACCCAAGGCATACCCAAGTCCTGTCTTCGCAAAATACCGAGCAGCACCAAAGACCTACTTTTGAGAGGTCCACCTCATCTACCGGTACTTCCAGCTCTGGTCAGTATCTGCCTGGTCCTCCTAAACCACCCCGCCGCCAGCAGTCCCTGAACCGCATCCACATCCCATCAGGTCCTGATCATGACGAGGAGCCCAGGTCACCCAGTGACAGTGAGTTCTTCTCCACGTCTCCAGAATCAGGAAGCCCCAAGCACTGGCAAACCAGCCCCTTGATTGAGCCTCAGCGGGGATTTGCCATTGTGGGGGTTCCTGGTGTATCACGTGATCTGAAACCTAATCAGCAGCTACCGCCAAGGATGGCCCGAAATCGCAACCGGTCTCAAGAAAAAATACCCACTGACCATGAGTATCCCCAGAGAAGAGAAAGGACCAGGTCACCAGCTTTGTCTTCTCAACCAAGGCAGCCTAACATTACGAGGCAAAGCTCTGTGCCAGTATCCCACAGCCAACCACAGAATCTGCCAAGAAAGCAGTACGTCCAGCGAGCGGCATCCCTCGGAAGGAGATCTGACAGCCACACACTGCGTGACACTGAGTCCTATCCTTCCCACAGACGCCCAACTAAAGCTTCACCGGACCCCCGTCCTAAGATGACAGGCACCCACCCGAGGGGTAGGTTGGTCAGTGAACGTAAATCTGGCCATTCTGTGAGAAAGCCTGAGCAAGATTGGAGAAGTCAATCAATGAATGACCCTGAGAAAGTTCAACGACGGAAGATCAGCTCCCCAGAGCAGAGTTCTTACATGGATTCTAGACAGACAGAAAGACGTGGCTCAGCCCCGCTCATCAATACAGAAACATTTGTAGTTCAAGACAAGCAAACAGCTGTCTATGCATCACCTCAGTATAAAGCCCAGCCAGCTGTTTCTGCCAGAAAAAGTGGACTAGGAGCTCTGCTCATTGCTGACAAGGATCATGACAAAGTGACTGTGGACAGTGTTTCATGGGTGCAACAGACCAGTAATGATTATTCCTCCAAGCCAGGCTACATCAGTGACAGCGGAATAAGCTCCCTACGTGAGGTCCCTTCTGAACCCAAGGCTAAGCCCTCTGGCCCTTTGAAACAAGGACATCCATCTTCCAGTTGGGAATGGGATTACTCAGTAAAACCTGACGTGGCCTTTCGTGAAGACACTGCACAGTACCAGCTTTATGGAGATGGTCCGCTTGAATATCCCTCCCATGGAAGCAACAAAGAAAAGAGAGCCCAGCTCCCCAAACCATCATCATTCGAGCAACAGTCATCGGCAAATTATCCTGGCTGGCAGAATTCTGTATCTCCTCCATACAAGTCGTATTCTTTGGACCGAAAGTATGTGGAGCAGCCTATAAGGCGTCATCCCCGAAAGGAAGTGATTCGCTCATCGCCTCCAGATAGTCCTGATCCTAATTGGAGGAGTGATGTTGGTCATGACATCAGTTCACAACATTCTTTGTTGACACAGCAGTCCAACCAATACAGTTCACGGCAGCAGGATTCTCTACCAGACAGAGCATTTACTAAGAATGCAGTTGAGTCAATTGAACAAACTTGGGTGCAGTACCAACAGGATGAAATAAATCATCCTGAGGTGTATACTACCAAGGTTAGCCATTATGACCAGCCAAAGAGGCACTACTCAGCAGGTCATGTTTCTCCTGCAGGTTCTCCTAATTACAGCTCCAAAAATGGACAGTTTGTCAAAGCCTATCCAAACAGGTACACCACAGAGATGGTTCACACTGACAGTGAACCAGCCATTGACGGTGGGGAAGCCTACTGGGGGATGGAATCCAGGAAGCCACCACAAAGATTTTCCTACCATCAGAGTTCTCTCGACAATGTACCAAGCTACCGTAGCTCACCGAATTCTGAAAATTCAACTGTGGGTCTCAGGAATAAGAGTCCAGTTTATTATGAAAGAAGTTATGATCAGAGGGTGTACTCCAGTCCACCAGCTATGGAGCTTCATGAAGATCGCATTCAGAAGGAAGATAAGAGCACTTCTCAGTACGCGCCACCTGTAGAGAGGCAGTCCCGTTATGACAGACTGAAGCAGCATGCCGGGACCCAGAAGCACGCTCGGAGTGCTGGGGGGGACCATGACAGTCAACGCAGGAGCAAAAGCCTGACAAGGCTCAGCAACTCCGACAAGATCCCTAGCAGCACTGAATTGGCTCAGAAATCCTTGCAGAGCAAGTCCACAGATGATCTGGAAGAGCTGAAAAAGAAAGGTGTGTCCCGCGGAGCTGCTCTGTTCATTAGAATGATGCAGCAAGCCAGCATGGAGGAGGATGACTATGATTTGAGCATCGTTGAGCCAGTGGCCATTGACAGCTATGTTGGAACCCCCAGGTTGTTCCAACCACAAATCACCAAGACGGGGGAACCGATACTGGAGTCCAGCAGACTTGTGACATCACCAGATTCTGATTCCAAAGCCTCTGCTGATAGTGATGCCAGACTTAAATCTCCTATGTCAAATGAAGAGCCTCTTCTCGCAGCAAATGTTGTAAGCCCTGTGGCTATGGCCTCTCCACCACCAAAAGCTGAATCATCAGATGTTTCCCCATTCAGCAACCAGGAAGTATCAGCTGTTTGGTCAGAAAAACAGGACAAGCGCAAACAGGCTCATGCTGTTGATAAACTGTCAAGTTCTTCAAGCTCACCAACGAAACTCGACTCTGATGCAGAGCCCTTCAAAAAAGTCCGTCTTGGAAAACAGGAGGTGCCCATTGAATGGTTGGTGAAACAACAAAATCTCAAACCCACCCCTGGTAGTGAGAAACGTCTAGGCTCACCAACAAAATTAAAGACTTCAGACTTTGAGTTCATGCCACTAACATTTCAGTATGGCAACCAGGAAAAGTATGCTGAGAATGCGACAAAATTTGATAACAGGAAACGCACCCCCATCGTTGAAAATCCCAAGATATTACCAACCTCAGGTCACGTTCCCAATTCTGAGCCTGTACTACCGGTGTCTCATCACAGTAGTCAGCAAGTACCTCCTCATTTGTCAAAGAAACTGGAAGAGGAAAATCATTCTCCCAGCTTTGAGAAATCCCCTGGCTCTCCTACCAAACTCAAGTCTCCTGACTTAGAGTCCGTGCTGACAGTTCGTCGAGGAAAACAGGAGGTGCCTGTGGAATGGGTGGAAGTTCTGGAGCACCTGCGGGCCAAAACCCAAAGTCAGAGCAGTGGTCCACTCTCTCCTAAAGGCAGGCACGCAAAAGATAAGACGGCCAGTGCTGACTTTGAGGATGCCCTCTCTGAGCTAGAACACATGTACTCTGTCCTGGATGAAGAAGCTGATGATCTGATATTTGGTAAGAATTACAGATCCTTTGATCAGAGGATTGCAGAGCTTCCTCCTGCATTGCAGAAGCGTCTTAAGGATCTAAAGGAGTACGCAATCTCCCAGCGTAACAAACGGCGAGCCCGTAGAGAGAGGGCCAAATCTGATCTGGCATTGAAGACCAGAGTTCCTCCCAGCCGAACACCGACTGCAGGACAAAAGAAACAAGAGTTTCCTCCATACCGGACATCAGGCGGTGCAGGGAAACCCTCAAAATCTGCTCCTGTGGATGCACCTGTACCACTTAAAACCAGTGATAAGCGTCAATGGGCTCTTAACCACTCAAATAGGAAAGAGGAGAGCAGCTCTGATGAAGCATCAACCCAGCCACGTTCCCCCTATCATCTGTACAGAAGACCAAAATCATCCAACAACCTAGGCTTCCATTCTGACAGCAGCCCTGACCTTTTACGACGGCCTAATATTAAATCTCCATCCAGTTCAGAGAAGCCAGAAAAGAAGGCTATCCTGCCCACCAGAAAGCACAAGAGTTACTTTGAAACAATCACAGGGTTACCTCTTCCGGAATACAAACCAGGTGCTAAGAGCAACACCACCAAACCCAGGAAACCAGCTCAGGATGCTCTGAATCACAACATAGTGCAAGAAGTTGTCAATAAGTCCAGTGTTGCTGATGTCAAGGCCAGTCCTGCCATGCTCGAGAAGCTGGAGACCGGCAGTCGGCTGAGTGTGGACTCAGTGTCCACAGTGGACAGTTTCCAGTTATCTCAGCCATTTGAGGACATGTCCTCCGAATACTACAGAATGTCAAGTGACCACAAGATTGAAATGACCTCAGATGGACACATCAGTCCCAGCCAGCAGAGTTCATCAATGGAGTCTCTTGTGTTGAGTGTTGTGAGTCCCGGTGGTGGCCCTTCCAAGAGAGCAACAAAGCAGGCAAGAGAGGATTCTACTGCTGGAGAGCATAAATATGGTGAGAAGGATGCAGCTAGCCGTGGTCCAGTTCCCTTGGCTACTTTTGATGAAGATCTAGGTGAGTTTTGAAAATCTTTAAGGTTGGTGTTGTGTACATGGTCTGTACATGTGTATCATAAAGTGCTTGTTACACGTATAAATGTGCGTCTGTGTGTTTTAACTCTTGTTTGCTATGTACATTATTAATTTGTTTGCAATTGTAGCTACAAGTCAGGCAAAACTCAGCAAGCACGGGAATGTTATGAACGATGTGAGTAAAAGAAGTGAGTAAATTTTTGTGTGGCACTTTTGAAAAGCTGCAAATTGCATGCACCTTTCAGTATTAAAATGATTCCAGTCTCATTGCTCTTCAGCATTTCATGCAAACATGGGGCTCTCATTCCTTAAGGATGATCAGCTGTTGATTAAAGGTTCTTTTTAAAATGCTGTGAAGGATGTGAGTAAAAGAAGTGAGTAAACATTGTGTGGCACTTTGAAATTGGAGAGAAAGAAGTTAGAATGTTAACTTGATGCAGTCATCCGCAATGAAAAAAATCTTACTCGAGCGTTCTCTGTATAGACACATTTAAATTAAAAAAATGGTAAAGGTGCCATAATTTGTAGATTTGTAAGTGCCAAGGGTACAAGGGAAAAGTCAGCTTCATCTTGCAGTCGTGGGCACTTTCACTTCAGGAGGGGCTCCGTTCTGCTTGCACTGTGATTTGAATTCGCTTGCACCAAGAATGCATCCGAGCAGGAATGAGCCAGTTAATTGGTATATTTCAAAAAGGCATGGTGTCATTCCTGAGCAAAGCCCCGGATGTCATGCCAGAATGCATCTGAGCAGGAATGAGCCAGTTAATTGGTATATTTCAAAAAGGCATGGTGTCATTCCTGAGCAAAGCACCGGATGTCATGCCAGAATGCATCCGAGCAGGAATGAGCCAGTTAATTGGTATATTTCAAAAAGGCATGGTGTCATTCCTGAGCAAAGCACCGGATGTCATGCCAGAATGCATCTGAGCAGGAATGAGCCAGTTTGGTACACTTCAAAAAGGCATGGTGTCATTTCTGAGCAAAGCACCGGATGTCATGCCGGAATGCATCTGAGCAGGAATGAACCAGTTAATTGGTATATTTCAAAAAGGCATGGTGTCATTCCTGAGCAAAGCACCGGATGTCATGCCAGAATGCATCTGAGCAGGAATGAGCCAGTTTGGTACACTTCAAAAAGGCATGGTGTCATTCCTGGGCAAAGCAGCGGATGTCATGCCAGAATCCATCCAAGCAGGAATGAGCCAGTTTGGTACACTTCAAAAAGGCATGGTGTCATTTCTGAGTAAAGCGCCGGATGTCATGCCAGTGTGAGTAGTGTACGGCTGCACTGTCAGGGCCAACCTCATGCGTATGTTTGATGTACTTGAATGACCTATGACATCCTTCTATTTTAATTTGAGCATGGGCTGTTGAAAGACATATCCAAACTGGCTCATTAATTCAAGATGCAGTATGCAGCTGTCATAATAACCCTGTAACTTTGGAAAGATTTCATGTACAGGTGTTTTTAAAAATTTCAATACTCGACACTGACCACCTCTAACAAACCGTGTAACATCTCTGATTTTGTGAATGATAGTGTATGGTGTACATGTGTGTACATGCACTGGTACCATGTATTATGCAACACCATGAAGTCCAGCTGACTTGTGTCGGCCTTGAACTTGGTGTTAGTTGCCTTGGAAGGGAATTTGATAGCTTCTAAATTCAAAAAACTGTCTTGCTTTTTTTTTGGAGCGGCAAAAGACACTAATAGAATGGAGGTGGAGGGGATGCTTGTCAGAATTACAAATTGCCAGAGAAATTGCACGGATAAGCTTGTTACAAGGCATACACACACTCTCTAGCTTTTCCCCAAATCCTTGCTAGCTTGGGCCTTTGCACTGTGCGATTCCTCAAAGGTGGGTTTTCTTTCATTCGTCTTGTGGTTGTTGGATGATTTTTTGGTTGGAGTCTGGTGGAGCCCAACTTGCCAGGTGACATACTAGCTTACAATATTGCATTAGTTTAGTTTGCACTAAAGTGGAATGCATTGTGCTCATTGCTAATAGACTCTGGCAGAACATAACATACGCGCTCGTAAAATTGAAAGGAAATTCAGCGGAGCTGAGGATCATTCACTTTTTTGTTGTCATATGGCATTTATTAAAACCATATGCTTCCCTACTTGTTTGCTGTGATCAATGGGGAATTTCAGCCACTTGAAAATCTTCATTCGTTTGTAGCAGAATTCATCATGCTTTAGTTTGCCTAGACTAGCTGATCCCCGGAAAATTAAACCATCGCAGTGGTTGGGCTGATGACCCTGCGACTGTACGTGCAGGAGGAGAAACGGAAACGAAAAGAGGGACGGGGTTTGAAATCCCCAGTTTTCTGTGAGAATACCTCAGTATTGACCCCCTTTCCACTGTTACTAGTTTGTCAGTCTGTTATTCTCGATTTGTTTGTGCCCCCCCTCAAAGAACTACATGTATGACCCCTTGCTGGCAATGTCCATGTCTGCCACATTACCCTCTTAGTTCTCATGCAGAGTAATTGTGTAAGTGAAACGTTCTTGAGGAATTATAAACACAGACAATAAGCCCTAGACTGGCAGTACTCCATTTGTAACCATTGTGTTGTCCAAATGCAGATGGATCACATGCTGCATGTAACGCTTATGATCCTTGTTGGTTTGGCAATTAATGGTGGTTGGGATGGCCATGTAACAGATTTACACATTACTTACACTTACAGTCAACAATTAGTTGTAACATTGCCTTGCCGGTGGGAAATTTGATGAAAACTGTTGAGATACTGGTATTTTGGACAAAAATGATAATACACGTACATGTACTTGCTTCAGGTGGTGGATTAGTCGTACAGATGTAGTCATTTTCATGTACATGTATGTTGTATGCTAATATGTGCCAAGCATTCTTTTATTGTCACAATTTGTCGTCATAGCAATGCAATTTGTAGTCTTGGCCCAAGCGATCAGTGATCGATAGTTGTTTTATTTCTGTTGAACAGCGCCCTTGCACAACTAGTGCGAGCTGGCGCACAGTCTAATTATGAGTTGTTGGGGGGCGCACTATGCACAGTGTCCGCTATCAAGCATTAACGTCTTGAAACCAAGACTGTGCAATTTGTAGCCACATTGGATTATGTTGTCACAGAGGGGCCATTTCCAAAGGCTTGCAGTGTGTGGTGTGTGCACATGCAATTATATGAGCAGCTTATCAAGACCAATCTTCATGATTTCCATGCAGTTTGTATTTCAAGCAGGTCAGTCTGCAACTCTGCATAGAGGATCACTCCTCGTTTTCCAGATCCCAGCCACTGATACAGATCATGTGTTCTTTCTGTCGTTGATAACTGTTCTCTTCATGCATTTAGCTCTGTTATTTTTCCTGCCGTAACTTGTAATAAGCTCCTTGGAAATGCCTTTGATGATGACAGGTGTCCTGTTTTAATCAAGTTGAAGAGTTTTGAAATTTACCAACTTATCTTCAATTTCCCTGTAATATCCGAGGCTTGAAAGGCCTGATGATTCCTCCTCTGCTAAATCTCTCTTTTGTTTTGTTTACAACACATGCACTGGAAGTTTATAGAACTACTTTATATATTAGACTACTGCTTCTAAAGTTTTCATAAAAGTGAATTTACTGGTATATACATAGGTTTAAATATGTTTTGAACAAAAAGTGTGCCATCAAAGCCTTTGCCAAGTCTTTCAGGCTATTCTCAAATCTTTTTCTTTTTAATTGATACAAGATGGATTATGTGATCAAACTGGCCATGTTTGAGGAGCCTTTCTATATACCTTGATATGACATGTTTGATGTTGACTTAGTTATCAAGGATTTGATATGCCAGTCTTGGGATTACTATAGTGTGGCATTACTGGCATGATTACACGCAGTCTCCAGTCGGCATTAAAATCTCTTGAGAGGAGATTTACAAGCGTGTAAATATCTCTTGAGAAAGGAGTGATGTAGGCTGCCCTGATCAAGTCAGGTGTATCAGTTTACATTCTGGGGGGGTACTCTTGTCTAAAAGCTGTAGTTCACGGTTACTCAATTTGGACTGTTTCATGGATCCTGTGAGGTACCAAGCGTGGCAACTATTGCCTTGTATACCCTCCTCCATGGGTTGCTGGCCAAAAGAAACCATGTACTATGTTGGTTTGTGACTGATTTTCACTTTATCACGCATACATTTGCTGAACAAGTATCTAGTGCTACAGGCAGCACCATAACGTTTGGCCATGCTGCCAGTGGAGTCTCCAATATTCTCGTTGACAAAATTGTGGAATTGCTAGCAGAAAAAGAGGGCACCGTGATGATTCACAAGCACTGTTGCCCCCTTCAAAAAGGACTCTAGTTTCATAAATGCACTTCAAGTTTAACATGAACCAGATTAATTCTGCACTTATGATGACAAAGGCCCTTAATTCCCTCATAAATTCTTTGCATTGTAATGTTGGGTTGCATCACAGCAGGATACGTTTTTCTGACTAAATCCATCGCCCAACAATTTTTTGGGAGCACCAAATCAAAGAATCGGAGTACATGTGATCTGACATTGAGCTTTTGGTACAAGCTTAGTGGAGTTAGTCTCATGATGGTTGTATGCTGTTCAAAAGGTTAATATGGAATGTCCACTTGGTTTGATATGATATGAATCATGTACACGTACACCCATACTCACCACATTGTTGGCATGATAGCAAGCCAACAAACTACTAGTTCATTGATTTAAAAAAAAAGAGAGGCACTTTGTCATTTTACCAAAACAAAAAACAAACAAAAAGTTGGTGCTATATGGGTCATTCCATGAGGTTAATTTGTGACAGTGTTCTTATTACATGGGTAACTTTTACTGTCTGTCATTACCTGTAGAGTAGGTCATTTACTCTGTAAAAATAACACACATCTCTGTATTCAGCCTTGCAAGATGTGTAACAGTGTCAGTTTGGAATCCACATGCAGGGAAATAGCTGTTTATTTTTATGGAACTCATGTAACAATTGACACTGTC